AGGATGGCTGTGCTCAGATAAAAACTTTAGGAACAGTAAAAGTCAAACTTCACAAAGTTTTTGTGTTGCCAATTATTCTTTTGATTATTCTTAAGCACTGCAAAAGGTCAAGCTCCTTCCTTGATATTTACCAAACCCATTCCAGCCCATGCTGTCTCCGCTCTAGTACCTAAGTTGCTGTACAGAACACATCTGGAAAGTGGGCAGCAGAAACCACTCGACAGAGAATGGATGTTCATTCTTTCCCATCCATAATCTCCTCTTATGAACAAGACCAAGCAGGTGGCCCATGCAGTGTGCAGCATAAGAGGTGAGGACTGAGGCTTCAGCAAGGTGGACGACAGCTTCCAACCCAGGTGGTCCCAAGTGAAAGAGAGACTGGAAACCCAAGGCCAGTGTTTGTCAATGGTTAATTCACTGACACTTTGGACCTTTGATAAAATGATGATTCTGCCTTAATATCTCTAAGTGGGCCCTGAGTATCTGATTTTATACTGAAATCTTAGAAATGCCAGTCCTGCTGGTCCTGCTGTCACACACATGGGCTTTCTACAGTATCCCCTTTGTGTCCTAAGGCCTGAGTCACACGTGTTAGATGCTGTCTCCTGACTGCAGGTTCACATCAGCATCCCTCAGCTGAACTGAGAGACTCCCTGGAGACAAGGCAATGCTCCAGACAGATAACTAGGTCCCCTGGATGACTTACATTCAAGCGAAAGGCAATGAGGGGCAGAGGTCAAGAGGCATCAGACAAAGGAAGCCATATGCTACACTGTTAGTTCTTTTTGAAGCAGGAGACCTGGCTTCTGAGGAGCCCCTGCAGACAGCAGCCCCTCCTCCTGCACTTGCCTGAGCCCTGATGGACAGAGCAAGAGGCCTATTTCCTCACTGGGCCTGTGAATAACTAGGGCACATCCACAAGGTCACAGTTATTCATTTAAATTCCGGCTCTAATCAGCAGGCAAAGCCTGAGAAATTATCCTTTCAGAGGGGAGAGGCTGACAGGGAGCATTATAAACATCTCTTAGGCAGGAATGAGGGTGCCAAGAAAGGGGTGTAGAAAGGAGGGCTCTTTCCACTACTATCCCCTCTCTTCACATTCCAAGTGCCTCCTCCCTCTCTTAACAGAGAGTTCAGGAATATTCAGAAATGGAGAGAAGGTTGAAGGCAGAACAGGGACAGCACTGCCTACCCACAAGCTGTCTATGGAGACCAAAGACCTGACAGGGTTCCTCCCAGAAAATACATATATCTTTGGAGAGGTCCCTTCCCTTTTGGAGATTTCAGTTTCCTTAACTGTAATGTCTACACCTCCTTAAGCTCTACTGTGACTCAGGACACTATAGAGTAAAAGTTTCTCTTATGTTTATGGTCACTCCTTCTGTCAAATAAACATACTAGGTTCTCTGTGCTATGTACTCTGAACAGATACAGTGTCATGAACACAACTAAGACATGATGCAGGTCCATAGAACCACTGTGGAAATGTGGGCTTTAGAAGAACAAGAGCATAGACTCTGATTGATGGCATCTGAATTCTGAGGTTCTGGTCCAGTTACTGTCAGGAGGTGACCACTGGCCCATTACTGGAGCTCCCCAAGGCTGCTCATTTGCAGTGCACACAGTAATGCCCACCCAGAGGAGTTAATATAAAGATGCAGGAGAATGCTCAGCCATCTTCCCGAGGCCTGCAGGTGGTACTAGAAATGCTTGCTGCTGCTTTTATTATCCTGAATCCCTTTGCCTAGTCTAGGGTGAGAGGCTTTGAACTTACACCATGTTGCAGTCCAGTGGAACTTGCCTGTTCTTTTGACCCAGGTATCCAGGACTCGCTGTCAAGAGTCCCTAGCCTGGCCAGGTGGCGCACGCCTTTATTCCCACCACTCGGGAGGCAGAGGCAGGTGGATCTCAGTGAGTTCAAGACCAGCCTGGTCAGAGCAAGTGCTAGGATAGGCTCCAAAGCTACACCGAGAAACACTGTCTTGGGGAAAAAAAAAAAAGAGTCCCCAGACTGTCTCTGGAATTCTGGGAATATTTTGCCCACAAGTCCTGCCTCAAATTACATTTTACAGTAGGGTTATTTCTAACCAATGTGCTCAGCATGTAAAATTCACCAATTAATCAATCATCCCCTTTATAGTCTTCTAGCAACCTCTGGATAAACAGTTAAATTAGCTCATAAAATCCCCAATAAGTCTTCCTGGGGAATAAGGAAAAAAGTCAGAGAGCCACTAACAGCCTCTAGTGTCAGAGCCACAGGGTGTTGGCTCCAGATTGCCTGACTGACCAGGAGCTGAGAGAGAATGGAAGGCTAGTCACTAGCCTCCAGCAGGCCTGGCCCTCACAGGCTAGCTCCTGCCATATCTACAGCGACAATTGAAGGATCTAAAGCAAAGGTTTTCTTCGGGTTTAGAAACCACAACAAAATAAAGGAGCTGGAGGAGTGACAGGTTTGGCATTCATCCCCAGACACTTCAAGGGCAAAATGAAGGTCAAAAAGTTTATACTTAGGTTAAAACCCCCTCTTGACCCTGCTATTCAATAACTGGGTGAATATAGCACATCACTTAACCTCCCCGGACCCCCACTTAATCAGCAATAAAATGGGGCTCAGGCCACATACCTCAGAAGGTTATTAAGAAAATAAAATGAGATAATGGACATTAAATAGAGACATGTCAGGGAAGGAGGGCATTAGCAGTTGCTATTCTCTAAAGAAGGGGCAGCCATAGACCTCCACCCCTTTGAAGAGATCAGAGAAGGCCTCTGGTCCCCTCTGTCACTCTCTTCCACGAAGGACCACTATGGTAACCTTGTGAGAATCAGAAAAAGGGTTCCCCCATGAACACAGGCTAGGGGAGAGAAATACAGGCTGAGCTTCAACCCCATTTATTCCTCAGCTGGAGGACTATGCAACACACCTTTGGAAATGCCTCCACCATCAGTCACCTTGCAAACAAGACCTGAGGTGTCGATTTTAGTCCCTTAGTTCCTTGAATTAAATATGCTGCTACTAGAGAGGCTTCCCCTGTCCACTCTTTATAACTTAGTGATTTCTCCTTTACAACATTCCTCATTCTCCATACCACTTAGCAGTCACCACATGCTGCAATATGAATGAATACATGTATATAATGTGTATACTTGCATATATGTACCTATACAGATGTATGTGTGTTCAGGTACCTGCCCCCATTTAGAATAAAAATATACGAAATCAGGGACTCTCTCCTGTTTGGTTTAATCATTTTATCCCCAGGACCTGATAATACATATCTGTTGAATGAATGATTGAACTAAAATCTTTTTAAATAGAATGGATGTAATTTTATGTATGCATGCATGTGTTCGTGTACATGCAAGTGCATGTCCACATGTGTGCATGTGTATGGGGGCCAAAAGACATGTTTGGATGTCCTTTTTTATGACCGGACATCTTACTGGCCTGGAATCCACCAAGAAATCTAGGCTGATGAGCTAAATGACCATTAAGGGAGCCAAGGTCACAAAGCACATCCTTACAACAAGATTTTATTTTTTAAAATCTGGGGTCTGAGGTTAGAACTCAGATCCTCATGTTTTCACAACAAGAACTTTACCAAATAAGCTATAACTTTAGCCCTAGTGGTATTTTTATGGGAGGTGTTGTCCATGTTGTTTTTCAAATGAAGATGAAGGACAGACAAAAAAGACTAACAAAAAACCCTCCTCTGCATTTTATAAGAATAACTACATTGCACTCTTTGTGTAATCCTGTATATAACAATGATCAGAAGGACCCTACCAAAGTATGCCTGATTATCTTAGGTATCAAAACCAATAAAAGATATATTCATTTGGAGAAAGAGATGACAGTAAAGAAAAGGTCATATTACCTCTAAGCAAAAACAAACAAGTGGGCAATCATACCATTAGGGAATACTTACAAGATCATCAGTCATTGGGAATTTTCAGCAATGACCCCAGCATATACCACTAAAGTGTGACTTGGTTTTAGAGTTCAATTACTATCATTGATAAGTTCTATGACCTAAGGCAAGACTACTTATCCTGTCAGACCCTAAATTTCATGTACTGTAAATTGCAAATAACAATACCTATCTTATATTTGTTCTCTAAGAATTAAACATAAAAAGGACCAAGTAAGTAAACATGAAGATATCAAAGATATTCTCCCTTCCTATCTGTAATTAACTGTTCTTCTTAACTCAAAATTCTAGCTTGTTTAGAATAGATGTAAAACCATTCTAAATCACCTTACATTTCTTATAGATGAATGATTAGGTCCTCTATTATGGTCTTATATATTCACATATATGTATATGCCCAAACACACACAAGGCTTAAAAGTAAGACTTTGGGTAAGCATGCATTTTCAATAGAAGTGTACAATTATCATGAAGATGGGCCTCTATGTTTCTAATAAAATCCAACCATACCCTCTTTTTGTTTTTTTGCAGTGAACATGTATTACTTGCATAACTGCTTAGTAAATAGAATATTATCAATGTCATTGTAGAAAATAGGGATTTCTTAGAAGAAAGAAACCTTCCTTTACCCATATAATTTCTGGGTTGAATAGGTTATATTGTCATCTTTTAACCACAGGAAGTTATAGCTATAAAACAAGGCAAAAGTGTTCATTGCATTGGATAACACAAGCTAAAATCCTTCTTAAAATATTTCCCAAAAATGTTAATTTTCCACTTCTTTGATTCACACAGAATTCATAAGGAAGCAATCACTTAAGCCAGGGAAACACATTCCATTGGTTTTAAAATAGTTCTTCAAAGCCAGCAAAAAAAAAAAAAAAAAAAAAAAAAAAAAAAAAAAAAAAAATCCTTACTTCAAGGCATTTCTTCTTCTAAACCAAAAAATCAGTGAAAATGCAACATACTAAGATTTTTTAAATCCCTGGGAAAGGGGGTCACTCAACATCAAACCATGCACAGTCTGGCAGAAGGCAAATTCCCACAACAGCTGTGCAAACAAAGACTCACCTGGACCTTGACTGACATCTGTGGCAGCAATTTCAAAGCAAAGGAAAAGGAGAGGAGAGAGAAATGAAGAAGGGTGTTAGAAGTGCATCCACACACAATACCATGTGTTCTTGCATGAGTAGAAGGTCATGCAAGCCCCCACATTCCTACCTTCACCCAAAAACCACCCATGCAAGCCAAGGAATCAAGCTCCCTTTACACTGTGCATGTCGCAAAAGAGGTAAGCCCCACATCTGTCCGGAAAGACATCATCCTGGAATCAGATAGGGCTCCAGAGAGCCAAGCAACCTAGAATCCTATAAGAATATTGGTTAAAATATTCTGGTTGGTTTTTGCACACTGACACCCACACAAATCCTCCACTTTTCCAGATACCAAACACTGGACTCGAAATCAAGTGAGGTTTCCCAGCAGAGAGGAAAATGATTTAACCACTCCCTTGCAGAAGTAAGAAAAAGAGACATCAGCATTAAAAGCAAACTTTAGCATCCGTTAGCATGTAGGGCAGAAGGACAGAAGATGACTAAACACAGTGACTATTCTTCATCACAGACAACAACATGTGTGTGAAATTGTGTGAACCAAATATTCACCACAGAAATTGAAACTCTGCTTTCCTGCTTTTCATGCCCATTACTAATGACAAGAATGACCCGGTGCAAATCACTTTTGTCAGCTGCAATTGAACACAGAGCCCTGGAAAGATTGATACATGAATTAAGCCAATGAACTTTTAAAACACACAGAAGAGTTCACTCCCATCATCTTCATCAACAATGGGATGTCTCCTTCAACCTCCACCCTCAGATGTGAAATAGAATTGTGCTGGGGAGACCTAAGTGAAAATGGCCTGAGGGCTTCTAAAAACCCAGACAGCTTAGTGGCATTAACTATAGGCAGGCAATGAGAGCTGACTGGAAAACCCCGGGTGGTCGGACGTAGAATCACTGGATAGTAGATCTGGGAAGACCTTAAACTTATCTAGTTTGGTATTGTTTGTTGTTGGTGGCATTGTTGTTGTGTTCAGATGGAAGGTAAAGGCATTGACAGATTAGTTCAGGTTTGCACAGCCAGTTCAGAAAATAATCTTCCATCTCTGAGTCCTATCAAGTTCAAGATTCATTCAACTGAAACCCAGATCTCTCAAGACACGCAGGATCCATTTTAATTTGTAAGCTAAAGGAAGTATTCTTAACTCACAGGAGAGACAGGTAGGAATCCCCCAGTTACCCCATGAGTAGATCACCATTAATCCTCTGTGACTTTAACCTGATGCCAAGACGAGACAGGTAACGTTTTCCATGCCAATAATGGAACACCTGCAATTGGGTTTGCATAGCACATCCTTAGGGCTTTTACTACAGGAAACCACAGGCTCTCACCAGTTTGAGCTGTGCCCTAGCATCTGGAAGGGCCAGAGTCAGAGCAATAGCAACAGCTGAGGATTCACCAAGTGTGTGCCCTGAAATCCCTGGAGGCTATATATGCTCAAAGACACGTCTAGAGAACTCTGAATCATTCCTTAGACATGCCCCCTTTCAGGTTTTCTGATAAGTTAGATTTAGGGGTGGAGCAATGAGAGAAGGGAAGAAAAGAGGTAAAATAGAAGAGGTGGGCAGGAAAAGGATGCTGTGTGAATAACTAAGTGGTGCCATTAACTGTGACTGATGGATTGCCTAGAATAGTGGTCTCATTAAAGTACCCCTTAATTAAACAGGATATCTTCGGTGAGAATGCCAACACTGTTGTTTATACACAGTTCTTGAGGGCTCAAAGACCCAGTGAGACAGGATCCCTTGGAACCCCAATGGTCTTTTGATGTCAGCTAGTTAACCACTTTGGCACCTTGATTACAATCCTAAACTTGGAGAGAGACAGGTGTGAGCTCACATCCCAGCATGCTCTGCAGACTTAGGCCAATCGATGAGCTTCTCTCTAATTCACATTCCTCAGCTATAAAAAGGGGAGCAGAGCCTCCCCATGGGGGTGTTAGGAGACTTAAATGCTCAGAAAGCACTTAGTATCAGGCAAACACCATATAAACAGTAGCGACTCTGATTGCTATTGTTTTGAATCATCACAGACTGAGTTATCAACATTTATTGACCAGATGGTTCGCTGGAAACACCAGGAGACTGCAGGAAGTAAGCCTATGTCTTGGGTTCAATGCTTCTACTGATGAACCAGGATGAAAGCTGCAACCCCACCCCTACCCCATTCATCATTGGGGTAAGGTGATATGGGGTTGGAGTCTGATGTGAGTAGGAGCAGAGCTTAAAGCAGAATCCACAATTATTTCTTCTGTTTTACCCCCTCATACTTTAACTAAGTGCAGTTGTGATCACATGCATAAACACGCAGTACCTCTTCTCATCACAGAATAACATCCTTAAAAGCTCTTTGTCCAAAAACAAAATAAAAGTGGCAGAGGCAGGGGGCAGTGAGGAGAAGGGGGTCCCTTGGGACTGTGGGTGGAAGTGGGAGAGTGAGAAACTTGGCTGCATCTATATTGTCTCTCCTGTAAAGACCCTCAGGTCCCTTCTAGGGAACCCCCTTTTCCACCTTTAAACCATGTGGATGGTAAAGATGATGCCTACTGTAACCCCCACTCTAATAGGAGTCCTGTGGCCCCACTTAAATTGTGAAAATATTCTATCTTTTGGACCCATAATTCACCAAATAACATATATATGTGACCCAGGCCCAACCAATGAGAGTCTTCCAAGGAAATTTCACTGGAATTATTAGGAAATTATACTAGCTTCCCTTTTTGTCATCATATACAGACTGCCTCCATACTTGATAATGAGGGCAACACAAGGGAAAACAAGGTCTCTTTGTAGGGTAGGGGAAGGTTAACTGGCCTAGAATCAAACCCCAGCTCTGCCTCAGCAATCTCCTCTTCTATAAACAGAGTTCCTCATAGTATCTATCCTAGTGAGCTGTGCCCATGGAAATGCTGTATTCACATTCAATACATATTAGCATAGTGCCAATTATAGGCCAGACCACGCTTTCTACATGGGTGATAGAAGCAATGAGTGAGTGAAACAGGTAATACCTCTGGATTTTAAGTGGGAGAGAGGAACACTACAAAGATACATGTACAATGTGTCATGAAGAAAGAAGAAATGGGCTGGAGAGATGGCTCAGCTGTTAAAGGCTAGGCTCACAACCAAAAATATAAGAAAGAAGAAACAAGGTAAATGGCAGAAAAGATGGTTAAAGAAGCACTTCGGAGGAAAATCCTGTTATATTGGTGCTGATACCTGAAGAAGGTGGGTCTTATCTATGCCTGATGAAGACTGTCCAGGCAAGAAAACAGCAACTCAGCATCTGTAAAGGCTGCAGGCAGGGCCCACTCTGATATGAGTTCTACAGAGAGGATGGGGATCTAAGGACCAGCTCCCTTGACCCGTGGCTTTCCTCCCAGCTCTGCCCCTGCCATGAAGTCCTCAGCGGGTCACAGATTCTCAGAAAGTACTCAAAGCTGAACAAACCTTGATGGAAACTCCTCCTGACCTGGTCTGAAGTCACTACCACCCTCACTCATGTCTTCCATACTCTAACCAGGGTATGCAAAAGAGAAAAGAAGGGTTTGAACCCCACCACCACCCTTCACCAGCATTCTTCAGCATCATAAGCAGGGAGAAGAAAAGCAGGCCATTGCCACCTGCATGCATGGATGCTGCTAACATAGTCAATAAGGCTTCAGCCACGAATTCAAAGGAAGCAAATTGTTCGGGGAGGGAGGGGTTTACCTATCTACCTTTGGAGATGTGACCCTCCCTGAGGAAGCTGCCTCCCACCTCACCCTTCACTCCCCTACTTTCTTCTTCCATAACCCACCCCCACTCATATCCCTGGAGGAGGTTTGGGAAACATGGAGTTGAATGCACAGTCAGACTCCTGAAGGACAGTTCCAGGCAAACCTTAGGGGACACCACCTGGTGAACTCTGCCTTGAGTCTGACCTATTTTCCAGGAGAGAAAATAGAATATAGATTTAAATGCAGTGGCACTCTGGAAAACTACAGGCCCAGCAGTGTGAGAAAATAAAACAGCAGGGGGTGGCTGAGAGAGTGCTGGCACTGGTGAGCACACTGTTTCCTCTGGCTGTCAATGGCCCTTGCTTCTACAATTTGTCCCCGCTTTCTAGTTGCCTAAAAATTGATACAAGGCTTAGCAGATAAAATACAGCACAAGGGTAAGGGACCTGAGTTCAAATCCCCAGAACCCATGTCAAGAGCCAGGCACCAGTAGAGTACCTCAACAATCCCAGCGCTCCTAACATGAGATGGAAGGCAGAGACAGGAGAGTCACTGGAAGCTTGCAGGCCAGCTAGCCTGGCATATGCTGCAGGAAGCGACAAGGCAATCCTGCCTCAAATAGTGTAGAAAACAAAGATCAGCACTCAAGTTGTCCTCTGACCTCCACACACATGCTCACATATATACACACATACAAGCACACATACCACACACACACATATACAAACACAAGAAAGAAATGGTACATACTATTTATGTATGTGTTTGAATGGGTCAGCTCTGGTGACCAAGATGGCTTTCCCACACATGACTCCTGGCACTAGCAGAGGAATCACTGGGATATTAGCTTCAAAAATTATGAACATCAAGGCAGGAGCTAGATACACCTGTAGCTACAGCCCAGCCTGGTTTCCTTGTCATCTGGCATCGGAAAGGATTTCTAGTAATATATATATATGAAATGCTTATCTTTTCCTACATGAAGGAAATTAAATTACCAGTTTAATATCGTCTGGGGGTTTCCATGTGCCAGGTACTTTACAACAACTACACTAAGAAATGGGAGCTGCTGTCACACCCAGCTAAGGAAATGACGGACACAAAGCTTAGGTAGCTAAGCTATGAGCCCTAAGCCGTGCAGTCTCTAGAACCAGATACTAGATCCTGGCCATCTGCCCATCGATTCCTCTCTGTGTGACATCTACCATGCTGGCAGCATCACCTCCAAAAGGAGGTGCCTATAGGACGA